AGAGAGAGATAGAGAGAGAGAGAGAGAATTGAGTTTTCTTCTCGCGTATGAGAAAGAGAGGAGGAAAACAGGGAGGAGAGGGAAGAGCGTGAGGGTGACAGAGAGGTGCGCGAGAAACACAGCTACAATAAAAAAAAAAAAAAAAAAAATTGAAGTCCAACTCGAATTTTTTTGGATAGCAATTTTTTTTTTGAAATAAATTTTTTTTTTCTTTCAATATAAAAATATGACAAAAGTACGCAGCTTTCCAAACGCTCAAAGTCACTTTCACAATATTTTTGGATTGCAATCTAAAACTGGCCCTAACATATATAGTTCTTTCAAGATTCCAACTCCCAAATAGGAACATTTTTACATATTTTAATAAAAATATTCGAATAAATATTTTAGTGAAATGTTAACCTTAAATCGAAGTGATTGTTCAAAGCCTCAAATCAGTAGGGGAGGCAAAAGGAGTCCAATCTCAAGAATGAAATTGAATTTTTTAACATATTTTTTCAAAAATAAAATAAAAAATTGTACGTATGTATATGGATTACAAGTTTTAGTATTAATATGAGTAGAGATAAAGAAGTAGTTAAGATTGACGGTCAGGAAGTACAAAAAAGATCGCACTTTCGATATCTTGGGTTGATAATCTAGGAAAATTGAGATATCGATGAAGATATTGCACACACAATTAGAGCTAGAAGGGTGAAGTCGAGATGTGCAACTGGAATTTTATATATTCGCCGCATACCAAAGAAGCTGAAGGGTAAGTTCTATAGGACAACGGTGAGACCAACTTTGGTATATAGGGCGAAATGTTATGCGGACAAAAAACAATATACCCATAAAATAAATATAGCGGAAATGAGGATGTTGAGATGGATGAGAAACAAGACAAGAAGTGATAGAATTCGAAATGAATATATTGAAGAGAATTTAGGCGTGACATGATAAAGTGAAAGAGAGTAGACTTAGGTGAGTTGGCCATTGAGTGGCGCCGACCAAGTACAACACCTATTAGGAGGTGTGAGTTAGTTTAAGTGAAAGGACTAAAAAGAGTAAAGTTGGAAGCAATCCAGAAAAATATACGGACTTATGACTTCACTAAGGATGTAACCTTTAATAAAGTAGAATGACGAACTATGACTCATGTAGCCGACCCCAATTAATTAAAAAAAAATTAAAATGATAATAAGGACTACAAATTGTGCATATATCATATTCTTGCACAAGATTTTTACTCCATCCGGTAAAAAGACCTACTTAAGAGGATTTTTTAATGTAAAATTTGAGATTGAAAATTAAAATCAACATATGAGCATTTCTTAAATGCTCCCAGTGGAGCGTATAATCTTTTGACTACTACAGATCCCATGGCCCATTATATCGAGATCGATCCTCGAGTTAATTTTAAGTGAAACTGATTAATGGTCATAGAATATATATCGTCATTACCATTCAATTACTACGTGAACGATGATGGAGATCAAAGGGCTCCGTCGAGAACATAACATGACCCAATTAATATATCCATTATCTCTCAATTGTTGACACGGCTATTCAAATTCCTCCCACTTAAAAATCCATCTCAAAAATGAATTTTGGACCCAAAATTCAACAGGTCCTCAATCTTGAGCACCAAGCCATAAATATGAAAAATAGTTGTAATGAAATCCTTAAAAATAGTATATTTTAAACTTTATTTTGCACGATTCATAAATATTCAATTTAATTATTCAAAGATTATTGGATTTGCACAATTTTTTGAGTTATTTTTATTCATTGCAAATTATCAAATATGCCTTATTATTCGAGCTGCAAAATCATGGATGCAAAGCGCCTAGAGTGATTTGGGATGTCTTTTATATCCTAAATTCATCTCCTAGAAGGATTTTAAGAAGAGACTGCATTTGAATAAGGTACCTTTCTTGTATAGTAAACTTTTGTTTTGTCCAAAATCCCTTTAAAAAAATCCTAGAGATGGATTTTGGATGTAGAATTTCACAAAGCTGATCATTACAACTATTTGTAATATAAAAATATAAATTAAACTGTAAATTATATCATTCTATAAAGCTTAAGATGAAAAATAAAATAAAAATGATCCACATTTAATTTCAATTCCATCTATTTTTAAAACTTAAAATTTATTCTCTTTTTTTTGTTTCATGATCCTCGTTGTTGAATTTATGAACATGTCAAATTTAGATACAAAATCCACCGCTAGAATGGACCTTAAAAGTATACAACACTTGCACACATACAATAATACAAAGAAACTAATTACTTTTAATATAAGGAGATCACAATCACTCATGTCCGTCACAGTTCAAGTCAGGTGGTTGTGAGCGTGTCATTGATTAAACTCAAAATTCGAAAAAAGTATCTTGAACTCGATGTCATACCCAACATTGTCCAATTTGAGCTAGTAGCAATTGTGTCCTCCTTATAACAAAGAAAAATATTGGAAAAAGTTTATATAAGGTTGCAACCTTAAAGTGTGAAATAGAGATGCACCTTATAAATCTATCGGAAAAAGTTGTTTAAATGTTGAAAAACCCTCTAAGTGATCATCTTGGCATCAAAATATATGAATATGAAAAATAATAATATGTTGTAAAAGACACTACTTTTGAGACTTAGATTAATGGTGGTATTGTGGAATAATGAAAATGTTAGGGTCTTTAATCGACCACCATCCAAAATCGCAACCATGTTATCATGCTCGCGCTTCTTGCGCAGTGCTACTTGCAGAGCTTTTGTAACTCGCTCAAGTTGCAGGTATTTTTTTTCGTTTTAATTTTGGTTTTCTGCAATACCCTTTGATGTATATTGTTTATTGAGGAAACAGTTGGAGTTAACTGGGTTTTATTCTGTATTTCTAGTCGAATATAAATACAAAAAGGACGACGTAATTCACTAGTAATGGATTGAGAAATTTGAGAGTTTATCAAAGCGAGAATTAGGGTTTTTGAACCCTCAAATATTTAGTGATGGTTCCTAAACTGAATTTTATTGCATTACTTGCAAGTTATTATATGTGTAAAAGGTTACGAGTATTTTTACTTTGTCGAATAACTGCTGATATCTGGGTTTTCGAGTTTCAATTTGTTTATTTATTTATGGCACTTGGAGAGATAGATGCCAATGCAGATGTCAGTGATTATGAGGGTTGTATTTTAGATAATTTTGTAGTGTAATATGAATATTCTGAGTTTAGATATTACCGGAAATCTTGGCTGTTTGGTTGATTTTTTATCTAAAATTTATTAATATTACGATTTATTTTTTGTCATAATTATTTTTGAGAATGGTGGTATTTTTTTGGGGTAATGATGGTTTTCTGACCCATCATAATCAGAATAAAAAAAACTTTCCAATCATAGAGATAATCAGCAATTTATCACAATATTGAGACTTATGATAGCTTTTGAAAGTTATATCACTCAGGGGACCCAAAATAGAAGTGTTTCATGAATTTCACTTTTATTTTGTGTCCATTTATACCATTATTGCTAATACAGTGGGAAATTACTCAGAACTCTAAGGTATTTTGAAATGTGCCAGATGCCAAACATGTTATTGTTTTCAATCGCTATTTTGTAACTTTGGTCTTCATTTCAATGTTTTTTTCCTTGATGAATTGCATGGCATTTGTTCAATCTAATTGATTCTGTGTATTTATATTAGTACACCCACATTCTTGTATTTATATTAGTAAACCTGAATTCTGATTTGACAGGAATTTGCTTTTTGTCAAGATGTAGTAGAAACATGTGTGCTGGCCTTTTTTTTTTGAGAAATAGGATAACTGTATTAAATCATAATAGTATTACAAAAAAACTACAAGAAATAGTAGAAGGTAGCCCACGGAATGGGTGCTCAGACTGTATAATCAAAAAAGAAAGTAACTAGGTGGGTACAGACTACACACCTCCCATATGCTCCGACTATACAACCAAGCGAAAAACTAAATATAAGATACTCTAAAAAGGGCCAAAAAGATAAGGCATAAAGGTGAGAGTAGATAGAGAAAAGAAATTGTATGGATAGGGGAGTATAATGATGGTCGGATGATAGCAGCCACTAGAGTCCCATGGGGAGAGGATCAAAGATTCAAAACCATAGAGCTCTAGAGTGAGGGAGAGAAAGAGGAGAGGAGAGAGCAGAGAAATAAGAGAAAGAGATGGGAAGAGCAAGAACCTGCTAGGGAGAGAGCGGGAAGAAGATAGGTTGGATATTAACGATCAAATTAGACATTAAAGATAGAGATCATGGAGAGTGGGCAAGTATGACACTTCGTCTCAAGACATTCCTAAAGGTCATCTCCATTGCTTCATTTTCCCCAAATACTTTTTTGGGTGCTTTCTTTTATTGAAATGCATGGTATTGTGATGCATTTACCTTTATAACAGTTAGCCTCCTTTATTAACTGTTAGGTCGTGGATTTTGGCTTCGACATATGTATAAATTTCAACTGAAGTTGACCAAATTCAAAGTTGTTTTATTGGGTTTTGTGAATGGTCCTCATTGATATTCAATAAATAGTTTATCTGAAATTTCAAATTCCCTTGGCTCCCTCTAAGTTAATATTAAGTTATGGAGGATGAAATTTTATGCTAAAAAGTAAAAACATTTCTGATATCCAAATCTTCAGTTCGATCCTCAAGGGAGCCTGTTTCTGTATGTGAATATTAATGCATCTGTATGGTAAGTTTTAAATGTTCATGGATTTCCTGAAATGAGACAGTCTCTAGTTAAGTTGATAAGCATGGCAGGCTTTCAATCCGTTACTTTTGTTTTCATTCAGAATCCAGGTCTGCTCGCTCAACAGGGAGAATTGGTATGTTGATTTTGTGGGGCTGATTATGGGGGAGCTTCAAATGTCAGCAAAACTAAATCTTCGAAGCAGTATATTTACGGGGTCATCATTATTAAATCACAGATTTTTACGGAACAGAGCAGCTTCTAATCATGTCAATAGACTGAATCAAAGATTACACTTTTCTCAAAGATTACAATTTTCAAGGACAGTTGCAGTGAATGGAAAATCTGTTTCAGAATCATATAATAATGGTAGAAAAAGCTCAGGAGATGATTTTATTACTAAGGTTCTATCTGAGAACCCAAGCCAGGTAGAGCGCAAAATCTTAGTTGGGAAAAACCTTTATACTCTAAGAGAATGGGAGCAGTTGAAGTCAAGAAACAGAACCCTTCAACTAGCAAAGGAGTTATTTGAGAAGTTGGGATCCAAGTTGAAATTAGATAGTCATGAACACATTGTAAATGAGGAAAGAAAGGCCGGGCTTGATGAGAGAGAAAGTACAGCCAAGCCAGTTAATCTTCAAGACATCCTTAGAGAGTTTAAAGGTGAACTCTATGTCCCTGAAGAAGCATTGAAGCAACGACTATCAGAAGAGGAGGAGTTTGATAGAAGCCTGGCAACGTTGCCAATAATGAGGCTGGAAGATTTCCTGAAAGCCATGAGAGGTGATACGATAAAGTTATTGACTTCTAAAGGCAGTGCCAGTCTTGCTTCTAATTATGGGCATTATGATTTCATTGTGGAGCTGAAAGAAATTCCTGGGGACAAGAATCTACAGAGAACCAAGTGGTAAGGCCGATGACTTACATGGAAATTACACTATAATCCCGTGGACTACGAGACACCATAGCACATTGGATTTTAGTAATTGCCAACTCTTTATATTGTCTCTTTTTTCTTATCATCTCTTATTTTTGGTTGAGTATACTCTTGAGTGATCTTTTGATCTTTATAAGCATACATCATGGATAATTGTTCTATCTGTATATTTTATGTCAGGGTAATGCATTTAAGCGACGAAGAAGCCCAAGCAGTACTAGAGGATTACACTGGGCCTCGGTATGAAATTGAGAAGAGTACCATGGTGCTTGATCCTTCCTTGGAACTTTCCATTTTGGCTTATTCCCTAACTGTTCTGAGCTCTTTTTCGCATACTTACAGCAGCTCTTTTTCTCATACTTACATGCCAGTTAAATTTCCCTTGCACTGTGGATTTTCTTTGTTCGTTTATCAAAGAGAAGAAGTTTTTGACCTCTATACGGAGTAACTTCAGAGTGCTTGCATTTGTAGAAATGATTTCTTGTATTTGAAGGATGCCAAATTAATTCTGAGACATAGATATGTTTTCATTAGTTCCAATATGATTTTTTATTCATAACAAACGCACATGCCTACATGCTTGGATTTTCACACAACACATATGCTTGTATATGTCTACAAATGATCACAAGAATGTGTACATTTGCATACTCTTTGTGTTTGCTCTTTACCAGGTGTTGCTTCTTGTGCAAATTATGTTGAATATGTGTTGTTCACTGCTTTTATGTTCTATGCTGTTATGAATAAAAATTTTTGGAATTAAATCAGATGCCTTCTTTTATTGTTTTTTTAAACTTTCAGTATATTATCTTGTTATTATCTTTGAAATGTATTTGTATGTGTTCTTTCTATTGCAGGCTTATGTTGGCAAACTACCACAATATCCTCATCCAGTGGCTTCTTCCATATCAAGCAGAATGATGGTTGAGCTTGGGATGGTAACATCATTTATAGCTACAGCTGCTTTTGTGATTGGAGGATTCTTTGCATCTGCAGTCTTTGCTGTTACTAGTTTTGTCTTTGTTGTCGTTTCATATGTTGTTCGGCCTCTGGTATTGCCTATTATTAAACTCAGCCTTAGTCTTATCTCCAGTGTTGTGGAGGTAATATGGGATAAGATCATTGATATCTTCGGTGATGGAGGGGTTTTCTCAAAGATTTATGAAATTTACACTTTTGGTGGTGTGTCTGCCAGTCTTGAGGTTTTGAAAACCATTTTGATGGTGTTGTTGACAATGGTTCTTCTCGTTCGTTTCACTATTTCAAGGAGACCGAAGAACTTTAGGAAATGGGTAAGCTATAGTTTATCTGGTAACAACATAGTGGAAAATTGGAATCAGCAATTTCACTAAGCAAGTTTATCATGTTTCAGGATATATGGCAAGGCATTGAATTTGGCCAGTCCAAGCCACAGGCTCGAGTTGATGCAAGTGTTCCCACCTTGTTTGTTTCATTTATTGAATTTTCCATATATCTTATTCTAGCGTAGATTCTTCTCATGCCAATCATCCCAAAAAAAAAAAAAGAATAAAAAAACAAAAGGGGAAAAAAGAGCAGAGATTCTTCTCATCGGTTGCAAAAGCTGAAAAATTAAATGTTGGTTTTCTTTTTAAGTCAAATGTTTACACCTTCAATTGTGGGATATTGTCAGGGATCAACCGGAGTCACATTTAATGATGTGGCAGGGATTGAAGAAGCAGTGGAAGAGTTGCAAGAGGTATGAAATTTTATTTTGGTTTCATTTAATGACCTACTGGGTTATGAAAACTGCATTATGCACTCAACTAAAGGAAACTGCTGAATTCCATTACTTTTGTAAAAAATATCAAACTGTCACAGGCATTGGCTTCTGAGTACTGCACAACCACAACAATTTTTTCAGAAAATATGGCACTTTTCTAATATTTTCAATGAAATGACATTACCTCCTAATATGGTTTTGGCTAATTTCATGCACTTCGCATTTAACTGTCGTATTTGTCTCTAAACATGATTTGGTAAGAAATGTGTGATCCTCAGTTGCTGCATGTAAGGGTATGCCTGTATCTCTGTCTTTTTGTTGATTCACACAACACACAGACACACTTTTTCTTGCATCAATTATGTCTTCTCCATCTTCTCCTCCTAGTGGAAATCTTTAAATTGAATTTCTTTTGTGTCATCCTAGGACCGGGCTATCTTTTTTAGCCTTTACCTCTCATTGGAAGCAATCTAACTCATTGCTTGTTCCATTATTAGTTGGTGAGATATTTGAAGAATCCTGAGTTGTTTGATAAATTGGGTATAAGACCTCCTCATGGTGTGCTATTGGAGGGGCCTCCTGGTTGTGGAAAGGTTGGTCTTCTTTGGTTCTTGTGCAAACTATATCACATTGATAGTGAAATTGTGATGAGCATATCTAAGAAGTGTTCTTTGGTATTAGACTTTGGTGGCAAAGGCCATAGCTGGTGAGGCCGGTGTACCATTCTATCAGATGGCAGGATCCGAATTTGTTGAAGTCCTTGTTGGTGTGGGTTCTGCTCGTATCCGTGATCTGTTTATGAGAGCAAAGGTATTGGCAATGTTTGCTTTTTGCTGTTGGGGAATTTCTTTATTATTCTATGACAGCTCATGTTTTTGGTCATGGTTAGTCATACATTAATTTATGTATCTTGGCACTATTGTGTAATGTGTTGGTATGCATCTGCTAACGGGATAGCAAATAGGATATGCTTTGACATTGTAACCATTTGGTCAAGAACTGGGTGCACTCCCTGCTAATGTTATTGTATCTCGCGCACAGGAACATTATCGAGGGTTTTTAGGCAGTCCCATATGGGACTAAGTTCAGGATATATGGAACAAAATCTCATGGTTTCGTGTCGATATTTCTATTTATTTGAAGAGTCCAACTTTATGCGGGAAACCATTGTTGGTTTGCACTGAAAAATACGTGCAGTAGTGACATTTTTATCCTCAAGAAAATCATGTTCATGCATTAATCTGTCTGATTTCTTTCTGGTTCTAAGCCATCCATATGAACGAAAAAGCGATACATAGACAGGATGAAACACTCTCCCCAACATGGTGTGAACTCCACAAAGCCGTCTCTGTCATTAGATACACCCAAATCAGTTGTTTTTGTCGAACGGGGTTGGTCACACCATGGCTTTGACATCCATATACCCTCTCAGAACGTAACAAATAGAACATCACGCTTTCTTAAAAATATTTCCAACTTCTAAAGAGCAGATTGAGTCTTTTATGCATTATCCAGAAGATTGAAATTAGCAATTATGGCCTTAAGTATTTATCCATAAGATCTTGTGCTTTTGCCGACTTAAATAGAATCAATACGTTCAAGAGCTCCTCGTCCCTAGATAACATGTCATTGCATTGTCATTCTCATCCCCTAAAAGCAGTTGGTCTTAGAGTACTTACTTAAAACATGTTTGTATGCTTGGTATTGCTATTAGTGCTGCACGAGGGGGATGTCAGCTTAAAGCAAATTGCCCCATATCAATAGTGTTACTCAATGCCCAGCTTGAACAAGCATCCTGGCCACCCCTCCAATGACACATCCCAGAATTGCTCCAAAATCCCTCCTCATCATATAAAAAATCTTAGGCTCAATAGTCTTGATGGTTCTGAGATCCATTTTGTCCTCTTTGTCAACTCTTCCTTATGACAACCTTTTGTGTGCCCATCTGTCTTAAAAGTGAGCATCTTTGCTTGCATGTCATATATGGCTTGGGAGTCCCTATAGGATTCCACTAAAACCAAGAAATACTAGAGAAATTTAGGTCACTCCCAAAATCTTCCGAATGTTCTTTCATTGTTTGATTAAGTTATGCTGCCACTGCCCTTTGCTTCTCTTCACAAATATCTAAAGTTAAAGATATCGGAACACTATGATTACCTATTAAGATTTTATTCTGTCTAGAATGCCAAACAAACCTCCTTTTTCATGCCAACTTTCCCACAGACTTCTCCTATCACCAGTAAACATGAAATTGCAGAGTGTTAACTTCAAATACCTCGGAAAGCTCACTTTGGCAAGTGGTGTATCCTGTATTTGAAGTAAATACCATGTCATGATTTCTTGTCTATAGGAGCTCTAGTTAGTGTATCAGGCTAAGAGGAATTGAAAGATGACATGTGCCTTAAAAATGATATGAGTTTCGATATAGCATTACGGCATCCACCTCTGGATTTGGGTCATAGGACCCTTATATGGCTGCTAGATCAACTGTTTATGTATTTCTAGGTCATTTACTTTCTATGTAACCAGGACATGGACACGCATGCCTGTATCTGATGTGGGCATACTGTGTTGGACTTTGACTTTGACATAGCTCCTCTAACATGACAACACATGGCATGTCCGCAAGTGTTTATGTACTAAGGTGTAGGGGTGTCTACATATAGGTTCTTAGATATTTCCCCATACAATTAACTTAATTAAATATAAATAAGATCAACTAAAAAGTTACACTTATGTCTGAATTCTAGACACATTTATCCAGAAAAATGGATGTGTACAGAAAATTTGGGCAATTGTGTCTGAATTCTAGACATGTTTATCCAGAAAAATGGACGTGTACAGAAAATTGGGACAATTGTGTCTGGAGCATGGACAAACAGGTCCAAACATAAGGATGTCTCTGTCGAAGGCTGATACACTCATACGACACTTATCATGCATCTGTATAATGAAAAGATTTGGACACTTCGTAGAAGAGTCGAGTGGAATGTCTAGCATGTAGAGATGTGCATTGGACAAAATGTCTACATCAGAATTACTGAACATGACATAGTTTACCTTTATGCCTGACTGCTTGATTTATAGCATATGATGTATTGGAGCTAGCACTCTTTACATGCTTTCATTGGCGCATTGGGTATAGTTTACATAATACATTACCAGTAACTGAGTATTCATCTTTCTGTCCTTTTCTTGGTCATCTCTTTATTAAGTATCCATTCCTTCTCATTGTAGTATGAACTAATTTTTCTAAGTGTGGTAATGTAGGTCAACAAACCTGCTGTTATTTTTATTGATGAAATTGATGCGTTGGCAACTAGGTAAGAGGGGTCTCTCCAAGAGTGAGTGTGTTTTAAAAATTGGGGCCTTCAAAAATAATATTTGTCAATGCAATCTAGGATTTACTCAATTACATTGGAATTTATGCTTCCAATTTTCCATAGATCTAAGTAATTTAATGTTACTAAAGTAGTGTTTTATAAGTATATTTGCGATTTATTTCTTGTAGTTTAAATATGTTTAAAAGGGGAGAGAGGGACATCAAACTCTTAGGTGTTTATCTTTTGAGAACTTTGTGGAGTCAAACCCTTAGGTGTTTATGTTTTGAAAATTTGGTAAACAGGGGAAAAAACACTAGAGAAGGGCTTATTGAATTCTTTGATTGAATGCCATAGAGAAGGCTCAGTAGCACCTCCCAAGGCCTCTCCTTTCTAAAGTATTCTGTAATTCTTCTTCTCTCCTTTCCCCTTTATTCTCTTCTTCTCCTTTTCTTCCCCTAAATTCTTTTGTCCTCTCCGTTCTTTCCCTTCTTCCCTTTCCTTAAATTCTTTCGTATTTCTTCCTCCTTTCTTAATTTTCTCTTTCTTCCTTTTTTTCCTATTTTTTTAGTTCTTTAAATTTTTGCTTTTATCATAAACCTCCAAGCCAACAAACACTCCCCAATAAAAAATCTATTGAAACCTAAAAGTAACCGATAGGTCATTCCTTGAATTAACCGAAAATAAAATCCCTTGAAACCTTAATTCCAATATGCATCTAGAGCCAAAACCCTATTTTGTTTACACACCATTAACTCTGAATTGGTTGTGCAGACCCTTTCAAATTGATTTAAAGTTATTGTATGCCCTTTTCTTCTTTACATGTTGGTGGCTAGCTTTAAATTTGATTGGAATCAATTTTTGTTTTGCTGATTTTTTTTTTAGGACAGATTTCAACCCCTTGTGGATCCAAAATCTCATCTTGCAGGCATTAAAGCAAATTTTTAAATTGCAAGTTGATTTACACAAGTTCATTTAGTTAGTTTTGTGGATGCTTACCTACTGAATTTGTAGCTGTTTAACCTTAGAAAAAAAGAAAAGAAAACGAAAACTCTTGTAATCAAAGATAAGTGAGTGGTTGATCTAAGATTACATCATTAACACCCATCTCCATCTCCTAATCCTAAAAAGCAATGCATTTTTCATAAAATGGTAGCCAATATTAGAGCCATCATCTGTCTGCAACCATCTTTTGAAAACCAAGAGTGTCGGCATGTTTGCCCTCAACTTTTCCCAAGTACAAGGTTTTCCCCCATTTGGAAATTACTTCATCGAGCATCAAATGATGAGTAGAGAACAAATGGACAGATATGGGTGTTCTAAAGGTCTCAGTTGCCATATTTATTTCTTACTTAAGTTTGGGCCTTCGAGTATGTTATAGATGCTTCTAGATAAAGGATCATGATTCTCTATAATTGATATGATTTGTCGTAAGTGTTGGGATGCTAAGGTTTGATCTCATGGTTGGGTTTTTTTGCAATAGTTCCAAGATGGTCGGTTGCACATGTAAATGCTTTGCCCTTGTAAAGCCCCTTGTAAATGATGTACTATAATACCAACATGCCATCAAGATTGGTGACTTCAATTTATATCACATATATTTGTATATAGTAGTGCTTTGAGGAAACAAGAGCTCAAATCGTGAATGTGCCTGGTTTCATTCTTTCTGGCTCAACTAGAGGTTCCATCAGTTTCTCCTTCTTGGTTCATCATTCCTGTTTGAGCCAACTGAAATCTTTTATTTGACTATTCCTGGTCCCTGTGAAATCTCCAGTCCATTCTGTTCTTAGATTTGTAACTATGCTATATAAATCTTGACCAAATGATTTTTTATTTTTTCCTCATGCGATACACTCCACCTGTATAGTAAATGTAAGCATGGATTGAGATTTTGTTTTTATGTGAGCAGGCGCCAAGGGATTTTTCGTGAATCCACTAATTACCTTTATAATGCTGCTACACAAGAGAGGGAGACTACATTGAATCAACTCTTGATAGAGCTCGATGGGTTTGATACTGGCAAAGGTGTAATATTCCTAGGTGCAACCAACCGCAGAGATTTATTAGATCCAGCACTTCTACGACCAGGCCGTTTTGATCGAAAGGTTTGTTAGCCATAACATACTTCTGTACTTTGTTTCATGTTGCTGTCATTTTCAGACTTCTAGAGATTGAAACTTATCTTGATTTAATAGTGGACACTTGGTAGTTTTTAGTGCTTTGGTACTTATTCCTCATCTTGTTTGTGTGAGTTTAGTGTGAGATATGGAATGATATTTTGTATCTCATGCTTTTGTTCATTTTAGTGGGACACCTGTAATGATGCCTTCCTCTCTTTCTCTCTCTCTCTCTCTCTCTCTCTCTCTGTTTTGCCTTTTTTTTTGTGTGTATGTGTGTGTGCAGATTAGAATTCGTCCTCCAGCGGCTAAAGGGAGATTGGATATTTTGAAAGTTCATGCACGCAAAGTTAAAATGTCACCCTCAGTTGACCTGTCGAGCTATGCACAAAATTTACCCGGTAGTGCCCAGCTGCTATTTATGTTTTGTTTGTTCCTGTAAAGATTAATTCTATCTTCCACTCTGAATGTTTGGTTTTCTTACTATCAAAGTGGATGACGTAGAATAGTAAAAGCCTCCATTCACTTTGGCATGGAAAGAAACAATGCCTACTGATTCTTATTTAAGAAAATCAAACACTAGCTCCATCTTACATGTTTCGACATGTAAACAGTATCTGAAGAATATTTTTCTGAAAGGCATAAGAAGTTACTGAGAATGTCATCAATAGTATATAAACAGTGGTATGAAGGAGATTTTGAGTTTCTCTGTATTGTCAAATTAGACCTATTTACTTCACAATTTTCAGTCAGAGTTGTTTTTGGATTCAAATATTTGATCAAATAGCCTTTGACATGTGCTTGTGAGGAACATACTGGGTGTCACTGAGACTGGTGACCACAAGACAGAGAGTTGGGTATTCTATATGTAGAATTTATGAGATGTTTGTGTAACTTTGTTAACAACTCTTGATCTGAAGGTTTTACTTTTGGTGTCATAGGATGGACCGGTGCAAAATTGGCTCAGCTAATGCAAGAGGCTGCTCTGATGGCAGTCAGAAATGGCCATAAAGCAATCTTTCAGTCTGACATGGACGATGCAGTTGATAGACTCACTGTGGGCCCGAAACGTGTAGGAATAGAATTGGATCATCAAGGACAATGCCGGAGAGCTACTACTGAAGTGGGAACTGCATTGACATCTCATTTGCTTAGACGCCTTGAGAATGCAAAAGTCGAATTTTGTGAACGTATTTCGATTATTCCTCGTGGCCAGGTTTGTAAACATTTTCCATCTTGTACTGCTTGCTATGTGTACTTTCTCTCTCTCTCTCTCTCTGTACCACTTATGTCGTGCATAGCAGCTTTACATTCTCTCTCTCTCTCTCTCTCATGGTATAGCTCATAGTTAGTGGGTTGCTCCAAAAATTTAAATAAAATGTGGAAGTTTGAAGACATGGAAATACATCAATAAGAAAAGAATAATTTTTTTTCAGAAATTTCAGATTAGTGATATCGAGGATGATATATACTAGTCAAAATAATATACAAGAAAATGCAAAGTATTCCTCTCATATCTTGAAAGAACCAAGAAGAGGTCCAAAGTTGCTACTGACTTTGTATGGGTGCATATTACTGAACTATCCATACCAAAAGAAAGCAAGATTTGTAATATCTGTTTTTAAAGAATTGTGCTTTCTGGCAATGTATAAGTGAGGTAGGTGAGATTTTGTGCAAAAGAGAGAAGTATTTGTTATTGAAGAAGAATCTGAAGAGTTCTAAGAGTAAGCATCCTTCAGTCGTTTGTAGGCTTGGAGATAATTTAGCTCCTTTAGAGGGAGACAAAGGTCTCAACATCTGTAAGAATCGCCTGATATCTGTGCTACAGAAATCTACTCTAGGGAATTAGAAAACTGAAATTCTGGTTGATTAGATGTGAAGATTGTTTTGTGATACTTGGTTTCAGTCAAATTTGCCTTTAATAACTCCCATGCATCAAAGTTATCAACTTGACACCCTATAAGTTAAAAAATAAAATAATAATCTAATAATGCTTGCAGACATACTCTCAAATTGTTTTTCATCGTCTTGATGATGAAGCCTACATGTTTGAGCGGCGTCCACAGCTTCTTCATCGTCTTCAGGTTTGCATCTTAGCCTTCACTAGTTATGTACTTTCCCTTTTGCAATTAATTATTATAATGAAAAGTGTAGAATATAAACAGTGAAAATCATAGGTCATTGGGATCATGAGACGATGAAATGTTGCCTGGTGATTAGGAGAGTGAGACCCAATGCTGGGGTGTGTCCTGCTCTGGGATTCCACCCCCTCTCTCTCCCCCCATCAATGTCCATTTCATCGGACAGTCATGAGCCCCATGGAGTATAACTTTCCATAGTCCATTGGAATAGAGTTTACCGTCCCTGACCATAGTTCATAGGCAATTCTTTTGGCATACTTTAAATGTTAATATGCATTACTTTTAATTCTTAGGTACTCCTTGGAGGGAGGGCTGCTGAAGAGGTTATTTATGGACGTGATACATCAACAGCATCTTTAAGTTATCTTCAAGATGCATCTTGGCTTGCTCGTAAAATTATATCCGCGTACTTTTCTGTACTTCTCCTCTAGTATTGAAGATTGGACTTTGTTTCCTTATTAGCATAACTCTTGATGTTAAAAGAAAATGGAACTTGTGTGTTTAAGCAGCATTAGATATTTGATTTACAAAGAACCAAAGAATCCCCATTTCACGTGGCAATTGTTATTCACCCCTCTCTCTCTCTCTCACAGATGGAACTTGGAGAAATCTATGACAATTCATGGAGAGCCAGTTCCATGGAAGAAGAGTCCTAGCTTTATTGGTCCTCGATTGGACTTTGAAGGATCTCTGTACGATGACTATGGCCTTTTTGAACCTCCTCTTGGCTATAAATTGGAAGATAAGGTTGCTACTAGAAGTGAAGATTTGTTGCGAGACATGTATCAAAAAACAGTTTCTTTAATAAAGAAGCATCATGCAGCTTTAGTCAAAACCGTGCAAGTATGTATTTATCCTCTAATGACCATTTATTGCAAGTTTATATATATCAATATCAAGCAAATTACTTGAAAACCATGTACATAATAGATGTCGACAAGTAAATTGCAATGAACGAATTAAAAAGCACTCTTTTTATTGTGCAGGTTCTTCTAAGTGAAAAGGAAATTAGCGGAAACCACATCGAGTTCATATTGAATAATTACCCTGCTGATACTCCAGTCGATTTAGTTCTTAAGGAGGAAAATCCGGGAAGGCTGGTGAGGAATTGCACGTTCTTCTGGACTTTGTGAATTATATGCATGTTTATCTATGGAAGGTGTTGTATTGCATTGCGGGTTGCTCAGTTTAGAATTTAGGTATTAATTGTAGGATAGAGGTTTGCATAAGGTTGCAACCTTAAAAATTCAAAGTAAGGCGCACCTCCAAACCTTGTCATAAGATGCAGTTTAGTATCAAATTTTTTTAGGGTGGCGGGAGAATCTTTTATCTCTAATTATATAATTTTAAATTCGAAAAATAGTTTAAATCAAGCAGATAATGTAAATGCATGAAAATCTTGAAAATGGACAGTCCAGATAATGTGTTGCAAGATGTATTATTTTTGGGACTTGAAACTTTTTTTGTTCCCTGTATTCACACATCTCTTTGTCGAGATGATCAATTAGATGGTTTTCCAATATCAAAATAGCCTTTTCTAATGGAGTTTTATAATGCACCTTAATTCTTCAAATTTAAGGTGTTAAACCTTATATAAACTTTTTCCCTGTGTCCTTTTTTCTTGGCTTCAATAGTTAATGTCATAATATTTTAAGGAATTGAGGGGTTTTACCCACACCATTTCTTTTACCATTTTTGGAATCTGTGATGCGTATAGGTACAGGTTTGAAGGACGGGAAGAGGCTTGATGTCACAATGGCATCCCCACAGCCCCATTTGTAGCTGACGTCATCATAACATGAAAGGCCCCTTAAGAGTGTCTTCATTTGTCTTTTGTCATTTTATTCAATTAAGCCCCATATAGTTTTAAACGAGTAATTGTTTTGTATTTTAAATGATTTAATTAATCACACGTCATTTTGGCATGCACATGATCTTATTCACATGGGCCTAGGGTTTTGGGCATGCCGTGTTATTTTGGCCTAAAGCCTTATTATGAGAGTAAAAATTTAAAGTAGTTTTTTGTGTGGCATCACCTTATTAATTTAAGCTTATGTGAATTTCATCAAATGGTTTATCTTACCACATGAAAGTACGATATTTTACAAATGACTTAAGGCGCGCCCCGCTATCCATTTAGTCCTTTAATTTCAAATTTATCATCAGTACTTTTGGAGTTGAGAAATGACGTTTTTTATAACTTTTATCTATGAAGGATAATTTTGTAAAATGGATAATCTAGGGTTTTTTAAAAGAGTGATAAGGACATGAAATCTCATCATTTGATTTTGATAGTAGACAGTGATGAATGAGTAGGATAAAAACCTATCAGGTGTTATAGATGATGAGTATTAAGGGTCATAAGTCACTTAAAATGTCACACTTGATTTTGCCTCCTATGGCTTCATTCTTTTTTTTCTTTTTTCCTTTTTTTTCTTAGAACCAATGTTAACAACTTTCATGGAAGAAATAAATTACAGAGGCGAAATTATACATCATCTGAGATCGCAAGAGAGTGTTAAGGAAACACCACGTTTAGAGAGAGAATTAGAGAGCTCCAGGCTACATCTTTGTTCCATCTTGTTGTGAGCAAAGTCCGTGTGGCCATTGAAGCTTCCTCCCGTGGTGTCCAGGCTTGAGGTAACTTCTATAGGTTCGTTCTTTTTTTTTCTAGAGTAATTTGATCATCTTCTTCTTGCAGTAATTTCCATTTTACAATAGCTTTTTCATACTTATGTACTTGAGTATTCATAAATCGCCCCCTTGTGAAACTATGCTTGCATATCATTATATGTGTATCATCTTTTTTTTATTATAAATGTTATCTTTATTTATTATAAAAAAAGATTTTTTTGGGTAAGTATAGAAAAGGAATTGCCCGAGCGGGATTACATCATCATAAAAAAAAAAAAAAGTGAAGGCAAAGAAGCCCCTTCGGCTTTTAGCTAACAGCTAACACATCCGTTAACGAGTTTGCTTCCCTAAGGGTAGTCTAGTTGAATACTTTGCACCTAGACACCATGTTCTTCTTGTTTTTCATCTCCTAATTTATCAAATGCATATCAGTAGCATTTGGTGTGTATACGAGTATCATTTCATTAGCCTGGTCTTTGAGTGTTTTTTTTATTGAGAACTACTCTTGTTTCTTTAAGTCTATGGTTATATCTCATATAATTCAAGCTGTTTATAGCTGACTTTTGCAAACTATTTAAAACATCAAAAGTTCATCTCTCTCTTACTTTAAAGTAATCAAGTGCATTTGAAATTTGTACGAGCTTCCCATTTGAAAAGTGAGATCTGCCCTTGTAATTTGAGTCATCATTGGCTTCTTATTGGACAAAACTAACTACTTATGAGATCCACTTAAGTGACCCAAGCACAAAGGGTTCGATCATCGGCTTCCCGCCATTATTTTGAGGGTTTGATCATCGGATTCCCACCATTATTTTGAACTTCTGTGACTTTGAGTTTATTTGAGTTTTGTACAATCAAGAGTTGATATGTCAAGTTTGGAATTAGTTTATATGCAAGAGAAAAGTATTCATGAAGTCCATGCACAAGTGTTTATACTAAGCGATACAGTTTGCTTCTTTATGACTTGAGGACTCCATAGAGCTGTATTTCTTTTATTTTCAGTGACATTTGAGTCTTTTATTTTCAGTGACATTTGAGTCTTTGTAAATCAATAATTGTGTGAGAGAAGTTTTTGTAAAAAAATTTAAGTTAACTAGTGCTGTGTTGTAAAAGGAGCAACAGAGACTCTATACTACCGCCGAGGACACTAGCCATTCACGAGGAAAAAGCCCAAAATATGAGATGAGCCTCACAGCCTTAAGCTTCTTTTGTTATTTGCCCGGTATAACCAGAGGTGGCCGACTCTGGATTTGATCCTTGACATGTTTTAGATGACATGTGTTTATTGCTAGGATATTTAAGAGCAAGAGAGAGGGAGAGAGAGTTTGAAGATGGCTATGCCTAGATTTTATAATTTGTTTCCATGGAGATGACCAAGCAGGCATCTCATTCAATGGAGAGAAAATTTACAACACAACATTTACATTTATACAACATAAGAAGATTAGAGGGGTCTGTTATCCCCATTGATCTACCCAAAAAAACAAAAATAAATTTCAATTACCAAAATCACATCATTGGAATGAGATCTCCCAGTGCCACCTTTGTTCTCCAACCAACCGAGATTGCCTTCCTAACAAAACGCTGTAAATCAAGGACAGAATGTAATGGTTCTGTCATCTAAAATATCTCCTCCAATATGTCTAATACACCAAAGGGACTACAACCTTGCTCACTTCATCGCATCCTAAAACATGCCTTTTCCTAAAATGGCCCAAAAAAGCAATGCAAAATATATGGAATGTGTTGCAGTGATCTGTGAAAGAGAATCATGAACACCTCCACCACTATCATATCTGCCTGACAAGTACTCAAGATTTCTTTTCATCCATCATAGCAAAAGAATTATTTTTCACATTGAGCCTCGATGGGCCCCAGGAGTGGCAATTTCAGGCTTTATCTAGGCCTTGTTATTCTGATTCTTGTTAATCTATTTTCCTACTTGTGTCAACTTGACAATCAAAATACCTTCTCAATCCTTCGCAACACTGTCATCTACCATTGATTTGGAAAAGCCTCCCTGTAATTCGAGTCTTCGCCATGAGTGAGTTGTCTCACTGTCGCCTCAGTTGCATGTGCGTTCAAAAGCCTCCTTGCCAACCTATCTCTAGGCGTCACCTTCTTCCGAAGCATTGAGGCAAGTGTTTGCTTTTTCTCTTTGTACTCCGAACTGGTATGGTGTAGTGCTTCTATGTCTTCTCCCATGACTTCTCCTAGGCCTTGTGAAGTTGAGGCAAGTGCAGATTGCCTGAGAACCATTTCGTTGTGTTCCCGAACCTTTGCAAGCTTTGCACGTTTCAAAGCCCTCTTCTCATTCTTGTCCTTCTCTCTCTCCTTTCCCTCCCTAGTCCTCACATTCTTCACCGCTTGTTTAGCAAGTTCCTCAGCAGTTAATGTTTCTAGATCAGAAGGTTGAAATGAGACATCGCTATCTTTGGTACTCGTTTTAAGAATAGAGGGGCCACCAATGTCTATAGAATCATGTTTTTGAGATGTGTTTGCTATGATAGGATTTCCTTCTACATCTCTAGGTACAATGGGTCCATGAAATGGGCAAACTCTCAGATCCCTTCTTTGACAGAGTCCCCCTTTCTTCAAAGGAGCGAAACATGGCCTGATTTCACCATGTTGTTCGTTGTAATACGTCATTTGAACATTTAGCTCCGCAATTTTTTCAGCAGGAATAACAGCATCATAATCCACTCTACCCCAGTGACACTCGAGTTCCATCCCCCTCTGATTTGCTGGTACATCACGGACCATACCCCAAGAATCCAAAAATGAACCCCACGTCATAACTGGGGCTTTGGCCAAGAGCTGCTGCCTCGGAGAAGAAGGACCAAAACCATCTCCGGCAACAATGGTTTCTTCATCAATTGATTCTTTTCCACTAGTAGAGGCATCATTTTTTGACTCATCACCATATGAATTATAAACCATGTCTTTATTTGCCTCACCAGATAGATTACTGTTCTCATTGCTTTCAACTTCAATCTTACCTTCCTCCCACAAAATCCTGTTCTCGTCATCATCAGGAGCAACACAACCCAGTTCCTCACATCTCTTTTTTGCTAATTGGAGGTCGTTTCGAATGTCAATTAACTCTTTTAGTGCAGAATCTCTAAACCTAACATCAGATGCATCAACCCTCACTAGAACAGAGATCGAATCCTGTACGGTCTTCAAATGCTTAGAAGTCAGAAGCTTGTATAATTCTCTCAACATGTCAAAGACTGCTTTGTTATCACTGTTCTCATGGACAATCATTCCCTCTCTTAATGACTCTAAACGTATGCGGCGCATAGCTAAAGATGTAGACTCTTCCACTGCATTTTCATCATCAACAGAGTCACAACTGAATTTATTGTCTTTTGAATTCGTGCCAGAGATAATCTCAAAACATTCAGAGATTTCATCTGAAGTGGACCGAATCTCACCCTTGATTGATGAGTAATTGCTCTTTAGATTCTCAAACTTATTCACTAGAATTTCCTTTGATCTGATCTCCCTTTCCCTTCTCTCGTGCCGCAATCTTGCTGCTGTTTCTGGCAAGTTGGGGAATTGGAATCTAAGAACATTCTTTAAGTAATCATAACCTAATCTAATCTGCTTGTAATGGCAACCAAACGAATCATTCCATTTCTCCAAGAGTTCAATGGATTTTGAACGCAAGATGGATGCAATGGAAGCAGGAGGTGGAAGAGGCATATTTCTTCTAAAGCCAGTGCTCAGACCCAAAAACCCATCAAAATTAACAACAAGAAGGGATCTGAAAAGCTTTGAACGCATAAATAATTCATCGATTATAAGCAGCGCAAGGTACCGTACCTGACATAAACACACCCCAGCTAGATTATATTGCAAGGTTTCAACCAAACAAGAGTTCAACTAAAAACAATCGCCCTCATTCAAACTCAAAATGAGATGTTCTTGCTTGTATACCTTATTTATAAAAAAAAAGATGCTCAAACCTTTCCAGAAACATTTCTCTTCATTAATCATAAGCCGTGAAAAACACCAATGTATTAACAAAACACTCAACTAAATCTTGGCTACAAACTCTTTTAAGAAAAGGACCATCCACACTGAACTCAATATTCAGACAAATAATTTAAGAAATACGGACCATCAATTAAAAACAGATGTTATACATACAACCTAAATAGGAAATTGGACATGACACTGAACTAATGAATGAATGATGATCAGCCATGAGCTCAAGAAAAGATCAATATCTGCAATGAGAAGGAGCATGCATCTGCAGATAGAAGGAGAGATGAAATCCAAATTTTTTTAATATTGATTGATGATCAACAGAAGCCATAGCAGTATATGAAACATCAACTGGCTGAGCACAAAAAAACCATAAAAAATCTCACTAGAATTTTAAGACTATTCAAAACCCATGTACTTCAACCAAGAAAACAAGCAACAGAACCCTTGATATTACACAAATACCCAAAAACCACGAAATCAAACAAAATTTACAGACAAAACACATTCATATTAAACTGAAGATAATTGACACTCCATAGAAACTCTCATAATTACAATTAGTCCCCCCAAAATTTGACAGCTACCCATAAAAGCAGAAACCCCATCAATACTGCAGCCAATAGCAAAAGGCAGAGAAACCTTTATATTAAACAGATTACAATTTCCAATCAAGAGGGCAGCAATATTCATTTACCTCTAAAACAGACAAAAAGACACAAAATATAGTTCATGGAAAAAGGGGCACCTGTGAGTGATTCTTCTTCATGTTCTCCATTAGGGTTTCGACTGTGACATGCACATTGGCATCAGAGGATTTGACTATGGCTTTTATGGAGTTGAGAAGGGAAGAGTCCAGCTCTCTGGAAGTGGAATGAGTAGCCTTCTCGATCAGCGATGAAAGCTTTCCACCATCAGTTGCCATTTTCTTCAAAACCCTACAAATTTTCCATTTTCTGGAGGATCTCTCAGATCAGCGGGTACGAAAAATTACGGGAAGCTGCACGCGCGTGTATCAAAATATAACGGTAGCAAATTAGAAAGGACACGGCGGTCCTTTGGCATATGGGCCACATCGAATGGGGATGGAATTATATCACAATCGCTTTTGGAATTGTGTACAATCAGGGAGTTTACAATTACTTACAATCATCCATCCGATGTGAAGGTTGATAGATAGGGTGTGTTACAAGGTTGATAGATCGGATATGTTATAAAGTTGGATAATTGTTTTTTGGAATTTGAGCTTGGTTAATGAAATAAAGGTTGTCACCCAATTTCACATCCAATGGTCAAGATTAATTGTGACCATTTTATTCAAAAGGTAAATGATCTCATCATATATTTTTCCATCGCATTTAGTTGCCACCAGAAGATCTAAAATCTTCTCACAAATAGAATACATATTTTTAAAAGGTTGCCACCCAATTTCACATCCAATGGTCAAGATTAATTGTGACCATTTTATTCAAAAGGTAAATGATCTCATCATATACTTTTCCCTCACGTTTAGTTGCCACCATGAGATCTTAAATCTTCTCACAAATAGAATACATATTTTTGAAGTTTGATAAGCAGATTCTAAGTCCCCATATCGCTCCTCATAAATTTTGAAGGTAGTGTTTATTGTTTATGTTTTCAATAAGGATGTTGTTTGTATAGAGCCGAGGTTCTAAACAATCAAAGTAAAACACACTTTCAAATAGTCTCGAGAGCTTCAGTACTAGAAATCTTTGTGATAGCCTTAAAATATATTTTAATCTTTGATTAAAAAATTTAAAAGTTAAAAAATAGTGTAGAACAAGTAGATCTATTAAAACTTGAAAAAATTGATGGTCCAGAAATGCGCTACAAGATGCACTATTCTCATAACTTGAAATCCATTTTTTTCTCATGTCCATGCATCTTGATGCCAAGATGATCAATTTGAGGATATTTGAGCATCAAAATATCTTCTAGTAAAGTTTTTGAGGTGAGCTCCAATTTGATTGTTTAGAGCCTCGGCTCTATATAAACTTTTTCCTTTCAATAAAGGGATTGTATATTACAATATTATTAGGCACAAATCGCACAACAAGATTACAATCACTTGCAATAGACCGATATATAATGTAAGAGAAATTTAAAAAAAAATATGTACTTCAATTTTAAATACAATCAGTTGTTTCAGATCGACTATGAAAAGGTTTCAATTTTTTATTTTCTCTTAATCGAGAGCAGACATCTTAATCCATCATGTCCAGGAATTTCAAGGAGAGGGAGAGAGAGAGAGAGCATAGGGTTTGTACGAGTGAGGGATGACTAGGGGCAAAGAAAATTCACTTTCATAGAATAAATTTTCTATCTATTTTAATTTCTTGCGAAGCCCACGTTGAATAGATTTTCTCTCTTTAATTTCTTGTAAAGCCCACATTGAATAAATGTGCGATGCTGTGAGTGTGAGTATGAAAAAACTATATGGTAAAAAAATAAATCAATAAATGCAAGCAAGAACATGGATGTGCGTTAACGCAACAGCTTTCGTGCAGTATTTGGAAAATTTGTTTTCTTAAAAAATAAAATTTGTTTTCTTAAAAAATAAAATTTGTTTTCTTAAAAAATAAAATAAAACAGGAGTTGATGCCATGAGGGGAAGGTTTTTCTCTCGAGTTGGGAGCCCATCATTTGAAATCGTTGGAGAAGAGAAAAAATATCCTGAAAATTAATTTAAGAACCCAAATAAGTTGTAAATATGTTCCAAATAATTGCCGATTTAATGATGTCGGTTCATTTCATGGAAGTTGGAACTCAAAATCAAATTTCCATTTAAAATTATTGATTTGTTGAATAAAAAGTGCCACACAAAATTCTTGATGAAAGAATTCTTCGTAGGCTGATGTTTTGCCCTGCCCCTTAGAGTAAGGATTGGATCTACTCGCGTGGGAGCACACCATGTATCAATCCAAACGGAGAAGATATCGTATAATACTAGAGGGCAAGCTTTCTATGCTTCTCTACTGTATAAAACTTATATACTTCCCCTTATCCAACCATCCATTCTAAATGGAGGGTTAAGATTGCCCCAATCACAATGTCACATCTCTACACTATTTTATTTTAAATATTTTTTCTATAAACTATTTGACACCAAATTTTGGACGTCCAATCCTCTATTAAACTCACATCGGCGAAAAATATAAAAACAATATTTCCAATAAAATAAAATGACCTAAATACCTTTGAAATTTTCAATGGTTTTTTTAGTCATTATATTTTATCAAAAAATTATTTTTAATATTTTTTAAACATGCGCCCCAATGTGAAGATGGCATGTACCAAATTTTCATATTCATATAATTTGTGCAAAATAAAAATAAAAATAAAATACTTTGAGACGTCGGATCTAAGATCAAAGGGTGAAGAGCTCTCTCGATCAAAATTGGATGGCTGGATGGTAGGAGAAGCATAGATCTTCTATGCTGCAGGGGAAGCATAGAAACATTTCCCAATACTACAAGCTCCCCTTTTGAAAACTCTTAATGTCATTAATCTCGATACACATGGAACGTGTATAGGGTGGTCTTATACATGATCAGACAATGAAAACTAATAGTTAGAGATGTTCTCGGCACTAAATTCTTCACTAAAAAGCACATCTTGAGTTTCATTTCTATCACGGGTAGAAAATCCATCTCCACTGAACTACACAAACAAAAAGAAGAATTATTTGCCTAAAATTCATTTTTGGCAACCGGAAGCTAGGTATTGCTCAGAACTATGAAGTTCTAGTTTTTTAAAAGATGAAATTATTGATATCCGGAAGTTTTGAAATATTTTTATGATACCTATGGAAGTTCTCAAATAGAGAAATTGAGCTTCACAATGATCTATCAAAACTTGATAAGGATTAGGCTTGAGAGACAGAGAGAAAGTACTTCGAGAGAAAATGGAGTTAAAGAAAAATAGCATATTTGAAGAGAAAGAATTAGACAGAAGGCACAATCAGAGCAATAGATGATTTGGAGAGAGAAAAGATCTAAAAAGAGAAAAAACACATTTGAAGAGAGAATAAAGTTATATACGAAAAGGGCATGATTTGATAGAGGGACTTCAGTGAGAAATAACACGGTTAGAGAGAGAAATGTTATTATTAGGAGAGGAATTAAAGAGAAAAAAGAGAGAGAGAATGCATAGTTGGAGAGAGAGGATTTAGAAAGAGGGAGGAAAGGCACGGCTAGATAGAGAGTTGGCGTGGTTAGAGAGATTGAGAGAAATAACATGATTAGAGGGAGGAATTAGATAGAGAGGGCACATTTCGAGAAAGAAAGGAGTCAGAGAGTGAAAAGGGCACAGTTCGAGAGAAAGAGAAAAGACGTGAAAGGAGTTAGAGAGAAAGAATGAACATGAGAAATAATAAATAAAATGGATGAGAAGTAATAAATAAAATGAATAAGCGAATGTCCTAAACATCAAGTACATAAATTTCATGGCGTAATAGAAGCTGCAGTTCTCATTTTTTGTTAACCCAAAACTTCCTAGAGCCAGTTGTTTGTTGTAGCACTTTCTACTAATAAAATGCTACAGTAAACTAGGACTTTCATCTCTTCGGATTATCATTTTTCCTTAATCATCTTTGATTGAGCTCATCAACGTTTTCTTAGATATCCTGGTCTAGAGCCAACTTTGAAGACTTTTTTATTTGAAGCACTTTTTGAGCACCAAACCAAATTTTAGTTATTTTTCTGAAGTTGATATGAAAATAAGTAAAGATGTAGGTGTGCAACCAGGCCAGTCCAGCCCAATGGGCCTCAAAGGCCATGGCCCGTCCTGGATGGGGTCCGCTCACAGTCGCAAGGATCTGTTTGCCTAAGCCATGCCTTAATTCGAGGTCCATTGTCTTAACGGGCTGACTTAGGCTGGTCTCACGGTCCCTAATTCTATAAAGTTTTTTAGTTCAAAGCGTTGTAAACGGCCCAGGTCGGTGACCCTTATAGAGCCCATCGATAACCAGGCTTGCAAACAAGACCTACAGTTATAATGGGCCGGTCTGGGTTGCTTAGGCCCGGCCGACTTGCACATCTATAAAGATGATATGCAATTTTTCGTGAGCATGTATACTGTGCTGCCCTAGAGCATAATTTACTTTTATTCCCTCAATCAAGAAACCTAATTGGGAGGATTTTTTTCAATTTGAAAGTTTGGAAATCACTTAAGAATTACTAGATGATTATTCTCTAAAAAAAAAAGGAAAAAATAGAATTTGAGTTTTTTAACATTTAGATCTCACCATCTAAAAATTGGATGGTCTCTATTCAATCTTAAGATATTATTCTTTCCAAGTACATAGAGGGTACTAGCAGGAATATCTTTTATGGGTGTGGTTGGTATAAGGTTGCAGCTTTATTTGTAAAAAAATATTTTGATACTCTACTCCATCTATTTTATTTGGATGATGGACATTTGATACATTTTTTATTAAAATGTCAATACATGATACATCTTTTAAGGTAATATCTAATCTACATCGTCCAAATAAAATGAAAAGTGTAAATTAATGCCATTTTTATTTCTACAAAAAAAGTTGCAACTTTATTTAAATTTTTTCCATTTTATATTGACTTTGACTTTAATCTACTGGGTCAAGAAGTTACATATCAAAGATTTAAGGTCCTGATTGGTTGGCGCTTAACAATTCACAACGCTACATCCTAGGCTCAATTCCTACAAAAGGTAGTAAATATTCTATTCCACAATAACTTTTGAATTTTTGATGTATACAAATGTTGTTTTTAAGCGAGAACGGGGTTGACGTCGTCGTGGTAGCACCCCACAACCCAGTCACTGCATTATGGTTTTCACCACTAACACCACCCCATTGGTACCTTTCAAAAAAAAAAAAAACTAACTCCTAAAAGTTAGATTGGAGGTAAGGTACATAAAAAGTGTCGGTGGATCCCCTTCTCTCTCTCTAGCACTATGGTGGACCATGCTAGTAGCAATGGCATTCACCTCACTCTCACTAGAAGGAGACTAGAAGCTTAACTTATTGTATACCACTAC